TAAACGTTACATAGTAATATAAATGATTCAAAGCAAATGTATTTCAACATTGGAATAATGCGGTGTATTGGTTGCCAAAGGATATGAGGTATAGAATATATATACATATATATAATGCCTCAAACATATGTTAAAATACATGATATGTATTGTATAGTTTCTCCAAGTACATTGTAGCATGACTATGTAAAAGACGGCAGGATTTCATCAGGTACAGAGGATATGAGGGATTAGCAATATTTCAAAATGACGTTAATCTTCATCCTATGAGTGTAGTGTATAGTTTTCCTGCCATATGTAGCATACAATAAATGGAAGAATGCAGTGTATTGGTTGCCAAAGGATATGAGGTATAGAATATATATAATGCCTCAAACATATGTTAAAATACAGAATATGTATTGTATAGTTTTTCCAAGTACATTGTAGCATGACTATGTAAAAGACGGCAGGATTTCATCAGGTACAAAGGATATGAGGGATTATCAATATTTCAAAATGACGTTAATCTTCATCCTATGAGTGTAGTGTATAGTTTTCCTGCCATATGTCAAACTATCAAATATATAATGGATCAAACATATGTAAAACTATCAAATATGTAGTGTATAATTTTCCTGCCATTGTTAGTCTTCATCCTATGAGTGCAGTATAGAACAACAATTATTCACACATTAAGGCAAAATTTTGTAGCATGACTATGTAAAAGACAACATGCTTTCTTCAAGTACAAAGGATATTAGGTATTAGCATGGTTTCATGTGCATATATTGTATGTCTCAAGCATATATATAATGTATCAAACATATGTTAAAATACATAATATGTACATACCTTTTCCATGATTTCTCTTAAATCATGTGCCGACATTCTAACGTATTTGATACAATCATTGTCCCAAAACATAAAATAACCGCAATTTCCTGCATACTCAACCTCAATTTCGATCTCATACCTAATGAATTGGTTGCAATGCAATAAAATTAACAAACAGATGCATATAAGGTGCTAAGTTTATATATGTATCAAATAAGAATGATGTGCTTACTTGGTGATAGGTGGAGGTATGTTTTCACAGCAAGTGCATATGAATGGCTCCCCATGTGACTTGTTAGTCTTGTTACATGTTGGACATTGTTCATAGTACCAACCAAACTTACTTAACTTAAACCTCTTAGTTGTACCAATAGTGTTGTAAAAAGTTTGTTGTAAAGATGCATGGCATGGAATGTATCACAACATTTGTAAAGAAGCAAATAAAACAACTTATGATTGAGACTAAGAAGCTTACATTTTGCAAACTAATGATTTCTCCGATTGTTTTAACGTCATTGGTGTAGGAAAAAGACCTGTCAACAAAAGACCCTTGAGATGCACAGGGTTGAGATAATGGTTGTGACATCACTTGGGAAATCACATTGTCACCTAACCTAAAAACAAGTGAAGCATTATATAAAGTGCAGTACATTAAAGGGACTGCATCATGACATGATTTAAAGGTTATGGCTTACTTAGACTGGAATGAAGTGACTTGAGGATGAACATAATCGAGAAGCATTTTTGTTCCATGCCACGCATTGGAGATGTACAATTTTCCGGTTGCTGCGAAAAAAACATTTTCATATCAGTAACTATTACATGAACAAATTAGAGTGGCATATCAGTAGCAAGCATTACTTAAACTTTGTTGGCACATGGCATGAGTGATGACGATAATATTCGGGCCATGTGTAGTTTTCTCATTTGTGTAGGCCATAAACTGAGTGGAATATGCTTCCTACAGTGTCAGATCAATTTCAGAACCACTAATATCAAACAAAGAGAAGTAATTAATAAACACCAATAAAATAACAAATAAAGAGATAAATAAGGCATTGTATGATATATACATTTCATCGGATATGATAAGGTTGACGCAAGCCTTCTTTCCGCCTCCCGCAACTTAAGTCTTGACGACTTCGTGGAGCACACCTATCACATCTGAATGAAAGTAAGGCCAAATAGTTAGAATAATGATTTGCAATAACATGTCATCATGCAGGTAATTTGAGGAAAAAAAACATTTCAAATACCATATAAGCGATTTACTTGAAAATCTTCGTGTAAGAAATCAACAATAAGTTTGAAACAAAACTGGTAAGCTGATATTTCTGGCATGTCAACCATAGTTACAGTGGTACCACCATTGAAAACAAGCTTCAACGGGTTGTCACATACTTTCAAGGCAAGATCATTGTTTAAAGGGTCACCATTATAAACCATGACAGTTTGATGTTCTCGTAGTTTCTGCTTCCATAAATCGAAATCCCTATTGCGAGTGACGACGTGTACTTTGTCACACTATGAATGAAATGAAGAGTTAGGACACCTTGTAAGTTTAATAATAGTAACATGACATATTAAGGTTCTATAACAATAAATGTATATCTTGCTATCTTGGAGAACACCTTCAAAGTGTTGTTGTCTGTTACGGTCCTTCACGATCCACAAATCAACGACACGAGCTGCAAGCTTCCATACGTTGTTACCTATCTTCAAATCAACAACCATAATGGGTGTCCTAGACATATTGATCTGAAAAGTACCAACAACACACACAAAAAAGAGTAACCACAACAACCTTTTTCATAGTTAAATAACATGCTTTCTAACAATAGCACTTGAACCCGGCTGTCTTTAAACATGAATGCTAACAATAAATCTTGAACAACATGAAAAATGTTGAACATAAAACAACAGGATTTCAAAAAAGCATCTAAAAAACATATGTTGAAACAGGTGCATACACGAGGACTTGAACAAAAAAATAGTCTTCCCAAAACCATTAGCAAAATGATTTCAAAGTCCTACAAAATATAAATATGAATGGAAAGAAGGGAAAACCGAAACTTTCGATTTCCGTAATGCATAATGAAGAATAATAAGCAAAAATCGATAACCAACTGTTACATTGGCGAAAAACCATCAATGAACAATGGAAAAATCAGTCGCAATGGAAAAACAATTTTGAACAAAACTTGTCGAACGTTGGACGGCAGCATACGTGAGGAAGTGGGGAAAAAGTTGTCGAAGGGTGAACCTTGTTATTTTTATGCTTGTGTTGCGACGCGGATAGATGACAAAGGGAAGAAAATTGTTTGGTTGTGGCAAGTTGTGGTGCAGGGAGAAAGACCAGAGGAAGTAGGTGTTGTTTGAAGACAATATTTGAGGCAATGAAGTGAGGTATTAATTGAAAAGAGTGGGAAAATGTTTTTAACCTATTGATATTTAATTAGTCCAATTGGTGAAGGACAGGTGGATGTGAAGAAGTTTTCAGCCAAGTAAATGAGTAGAATATGTTAATTACGTTGATATCCTTTAATTAGGCATGTTTGTTTTAGGTGTGAAGGGTATTAATGGAAGAATGCTGACAATGAATAGAAATGGGTAGTAGGTAGTTGATTATAACACAATATTTTTTTTGGCATTTAAGATTAGTCATTATAATTCTGTTGTAAATACTCACTATTATTTTTAATTGATAGAAATAGAATTAGTTATCATTCTCTCTATGTTTAGCCGACTCTCCTTCTCTTTAGTTATTTCTCATCTCAACTACAACTAATTATAATAATTATCCACAAATCTCAATATTTAAAAAAATTCCTTTGATTCTAAAGGTTGTCATTCTATTTCTTCAACTTCATTTCTATCTCGTAAGTTGACTCTTGTGAGCATAGGGATCCACGCGGATGTTTGAGTTTCTAGATTTTGTTCAATTTCTAAATTGACACTCATAAACTTGAATGATTTTAAAAAACAATAATTTAATTTAAGAAATTTGTTTTAACCTAATAAAGCTAAAGAAGGTTGATGAAGAATTCTATAAAAATTTATTTTAAAATTTTTGTTTTTACTAAAAATTAATTATAATTAAAATTAATTAATTTATACTTGTCTCATCATCAGCAAAATGACTTTTTTTTAAGAGATGAAAAAGAAAAAGACAACAATGCAAACATTTCATCATAATACTTTTTAAACTGAATTATTATAGCCAATCAAGATATATTTAGCCAATCATTTTTTAGTAAAACTGATTTTTCATTAAGTTAATTTCAAAAGTTTCGTACTTATATTCCAAAAGTAGGTTAAAAAGTACTCTATTTTATTTGAACGGTAAATTAGACTAGTACTGAACAGAAAAACAAGTGTTGCTTCCATCAAAATCAATATTACTAATCCTAAACACAGATTTTAGCAATGAAATATCATCAAATAAAATAAGCACTCAAACAAATGAAATATCATCAAATAAAATAAGTACTCAAACGGCCGTTGAAGGACTTCTGGAATGTCAAATAAACATGAACTTCCTTCTAACCCCCCTTATACTCTCTGATGGGGTAAAAGACCATGAGAGTTGACTACAAAGGGAAGAATATCATAGATTTGCAGGCATCATACATCCAAAGGGCATACAATAAGTTAAATTTTGGTAAATATATCCCAATAGGCATCTGCAAGGACATATAAAATTTAATCTCAAAGACCATACATAATACTTAGACCGAAAATTAACATTTTACCGGCTTAATTAAACATAAAGATAAGTTTTTACTGGCATATTATCTACATAATAGTCTGCCATGCAAGTAAACTATCTCAGCTACAGTTTCTGATCGCAACAATGGACCGTCTCGATTCAAAGTTTAACTCCCATCCCCTTTGGAGTTCCCTGCAATCTGCAAGCCAAGAAATGCAGGCGATTTCAGACATAATAGGAACTATAGTACAGCTAAAGGTGTAACAGCCATTCTCAGGATCAAATAAGCAACTAAATACAGCTCATTTATAAAACAGCAGAGTGCAAAAGGTTATTTGTAAGTTTTCAAGACCTGCACCATTAAGTTTTACCATGGTGCTGAAATAAACATACTTTTCAATAAATTTCAACTCAAACCCTGTAAAATGAAAGAGAGCCTAAAGTTAAGTTCACCTTAACATCCGCAGTGCAGCATCTAGTGATCTGGAGATGGTGGTCGCTGGTCTGGAGGCTGTGGCCACATTTGTGGTGCCATGTAAGGATGAGGCTGCTGAGCATACATATTTGGGTCCATCACAGGCTTACCCATTATGACACCACCAGCACCAACTTGGGGGGCATGCTGAGGTGGCATGTAGCAGTAGTTAAGAGCATCAGCAGGTCCACCAACAGGCATTGTTCCTCTTGGGATTGATGCCAGCACTTCATCTTTCAGGTCCTCGCGAGGCACAATGTCAACCAGGAAATCAAAGATATCAGTCCTTGTGATTGCAGCTGCAATATCATTCTTCTGAAGCGTCCTCCTTTTGTTCTCTTCAGTGTGGTTCCATGAACGCAGGGTTAACTCCAATATGAACATCTCACAGGCCCTTGCAAATATGACCGGTGCCTCAGCTGATATCATTCTAACATCCTCATCAGCCTTCATAATCTTCTTGATCCTTGCCAGGGGAAGGCTGTGGTTCTTGAAGTCGGTAACCTTTTCAATTTCTTGGTACTGGTTTGCCCAAAAAGCTTGGAGCTGTTGCTGAAGTTGCTGCTGTTGCTGCTGATGAATATGCTGATAAGCAAGTTGATGCTGACCCAGCTGCGCTCCAGCAGGTTGACCAGTTGATTGCATGCCCCCTGTAACAACTGATCCTGGTGCCCCAGCCATTTGGTTTGGCTGATATGGATTAGATCCATACGGCATTTGACCTCCACTACCGACAACACCCATCGGCGGATTTTGGTTATGCCCTTGATGATCCATTCTGTTTTGACATAAAATCAAACATGATTGGTAACATTTTACAGGCAATAAAAGAAACAATAGCAATTATACCACAGGTACAGCATAATCATATAATGCATAGGAAAATGGCCTGCCAATGCAGTGCTCTCAACCGCGTGTCTGATCGAAAACAACGCAAGCTCGGAAAAAATAAAACAGGATACCCTTTTCTTGAGAGAAACATGTGATCTTGCAGTTTTCTCAACAGTGTGTCGTGATAAAAAACAACACAAGCTCGGAAAAAAGAAAATAGGATACCCTTTTATAGAGAGAAACATGTGATCGGCACAACATTTCACAAGCAACAGATGCAACAAATCATGCAACCATTGAAACGAACTTGTTGATATATCAGAAATTAAACCACAAGTACAACATCCAGCATAACCATTTAATTCATCGGAAAAACAGATCTCAACTGCATGTCATGATCGAAACCGGCACATATTTTTCTTAACATGCATATATCATAAAAACACACATTTTGATCTGCCCACTCCCATGCACAACTGTATCTTAAACACAAAAACTGATTTACCAAGATAACACCAAACAACCCCTATAGGAAAGCAACTCAGGCAACAAAATCAAAGTTTCACAAAATAAACATCAGATTCAATCAACGGATCTTCCCCCAGAATACCAAAATAAGCTTCCCATTTACAAAAATCACAGGATTATCATTTAATTCAACTAAATAATCTTTTCACATAAGACATGCACATAACAACCAAATCAATTAATAAATAAACTTGATAAAAATAATCAATTAATAGAAGGAAAAAAAAGCATAAAAAAGTAGAAACTTTTACTTTCCATATTCACACACAACTAAAATCAAAGAAATTTCTTCTCTTCCATCACATAACAGTTTCACACAGATATAAAAAAAACAAAAAAACAAAAACGCCACATAAAAATCACCAATAAAAAACACAAAAAATCAACAACAAATGAAATTAAGAGTTTCCCGTAACAAATATCCCAAAAAAAAACGAAAAAAAAAACAAAATCACGAGGAGCGCGTTACAGCATAATAACTAAGCAAATGCAGATGCATTACACACAAAAACCATACATGAACTGTGAAGCAAGAGCTGTTACCGATGCCGATGCTTGGTTCCGCAAACAGTAAGAACCTGAAAAGGATCAAACGAGAAAACAATGAGAAATCGCGTTTGATTGAAAGATCTACAGCATGCGAATTGAGCAAAGAACGAGTTATTTTGATAATGCTTTTGAACTGAGAAAGATCCCAAAGAAGAAAAGTTAGGGTTTCAGAGAGAGGGAGAAAAAAAGAGTGAATGAAAAAGATGCAGAGAAAGTTGTTGCGAGAATTGATGATTTTTTTTTTTACTTTGAAAATGAAATGAAAATGAAACGAACCTCTCAAAGACAATAAAGCTGTGTGTGTCTGAATAGAACAACTCGCTTGTTCAGAAGCTATTTATATTAGAATTTTCTTACTTTTTTATCTTTTTTTTTATTTATTGACGGATTTACCCTTCTTCTTCTCCCCAGTTCCCACAGTATTTATTTATTATCATCTTGTCTTAATTAATGTTTATCTCTTTAATTATTATTCAGTTAATGTAAATGTGTTTTTTTATAGAAAAAGTGTAATAATTTAATTATAAATCTGTATACATTAAATGGATTTTGCATAAAGTAGATAAATTAATTAATAAATTAAAAGAAAAGTAAAACTACATTTCAAACTTAGAGCTTGTGCTTGCATCAAGTTATACTTTTTTAATTAATATATTTATTAAAATTCTCTCTTTTGAATTTATCGAATTCAATATGCTCCACTACATTTATAAGTAAAAAGTAATAGTATTATGTCTTAGGAGCTTACTTGCTAGGATTTTTATTTAATTAGTGTATTTCTTTAGTGTTATGGATTAGTATATAGAAGATTTTGTAAATATATCAATTTTTTATGATTTCATAAAATATATGTAATCAAATCAAATAATAAACTAAATAGTTTTCAATATTTTTTAAATAATTTATCTATTGAATAAGAAGAGTTATGCTAAAATATAATTAAATTAAATTAAAATTTAATAAAAGATATAATTTTAAAAAAATGAATTTAAATAAAACATAATAATATATAAAAATGGAAAATACTAACTTGTATCTCAGAGACACAAGTTAGGATTACTCTTAAAAAATAAAACAAAATATGTCAACAAAAATACCACAACAACAATAACCAAGCCTTATTCCATTAAGTGGGTCGCTTACATGGATCAACATAATGGTCTTTCTCAGGTCATGCTTTTATCCAAATTGCTAATCTCATTATCTTTCTTAATAACTTCTCTTATAGTTTTTTTAGATCTTCCACTACCTATAGCTATTTGACTCCTCTCCGTGTGATCTACTCTCATTACCACATAATCCACATGTCTTCTCTATACATGCTCACATCACCGAAGTCTATTTTCTACCATCTTTTATACTATAATTATTACCCTAACACTCTCTTTAATATTATCATTTCTAATCTTATCATGCCTATTCTTACCACACATCCAATGCAGCATCCTCAACTATGATACATGTACTTTGTTCTCGTGTTGATTCTTAAGCGCTCAATATTCTGTTCCATACAAGATTGCAGGTTTTAACGCAATCTGATAAAAATTTCCCTTCAACTTGAGAAGTATATTTTTGTTGCATAAAATCCCTGAACTCCATGTCCATTTCAACCACCCAGCTTGAATTTGATGGTTTACATTCACTTTTATTTACCATATCATTTGTATTATGGATCCAAGATATTTAAACTGTGTGACTTATGGGGGTAATATGGTCTCCAACTTTCACCTCTAAGTTAGAAATGTTTCTCCTTTTGCTAAACTTACATTTCGTATATTTTGTCTTAATTTTACTTAGGAGAAAGTCATGCATTTTTAAAGTTCGTCTCAAAGTCTTCAACCTCTCATTTAAATTATCCTTCGACTCTACAAGTAAGACTATATCATCTGCAAAAAAATATGCATCTTGGTGCTAGCTCTTGGGTGCTCTCTTTAAGTACATCCAAAATTAAAGTAAAAAGCTAGGGGCTTAGAGTTGAACCTTGGTGAAAACCTATTGTAATAGGGAAATTGTTCATCTCTCCACCATGTGTTTGTACACTAACTGATACCCTTTGATACATATCTTGAATAGCTCGAATATATGTGATCCTAACCCCTTTCTTTTCTAGGGTTTTCCATAAAGTATCAATAACACTCTTTCATACGCCTTGACCAAGTCAATAAAATTTAGTGCAAGTTTTGTTAGTCCATTGGCATTGCCCTATCAACCGTATTAATAGATAGATTGCTTCCATGATCGACCTCTCATACATAATATCAAATTGATTCACAATGACTTAAGTATTTTTTCTTAGTCTTCATTCAATTACTTTTTCCATAACTTCATGGTATGACTCATAAGTTTAATCCCTCAGTAATTTGCATAATTTTGTATATCCTCCTTATTCTTATAGATTAGGACTAAATTGTTTCTCCTTCATTCATCCGACAATTTAGTTTAAATGGTTTGCTTTAATTTCATAATCTCGTTAAATAGTTAAGTGAGTCACTCAATACCTCTATCTCCAAGAATTTTCCACACTTCAATGAGTATTTTGTCACAACCGTCTTACTACTACTCATCTTACAATGCTTATTTTACCTCTTGTTTCTGAATCTGATAGTAGTAATTATAGTTTCACTTCTCTTCTCTAATGTCAAGCCCACAAGATTCCTTTGAGATATCATTTCCTTCATCAAATAAATTGTAGAAATACGTCTTCCACTATCTTTTATAACTTTTTTCAGAACTAAAAATTTACCATCTTCATCTTTAATACACTTCACTTGATCCAAATCTCTTATCTTTCTTTCTCTTTCACTATATATATATATATATATATATATATATATATATATATATATATATATATATATATATATATATATATATATATATATATATATATATATATATATATATATATATATATATATATATATATATATATATATATATATATATATATATATATATATATATATATATATATATATATATATATATATATATATATATATATATATATTCCCTCTTTGTTTCTTAAAGATTGGTATAATCAGTCAAAAACTCGGATTCTTACTTCACTCACTGCCTTTTTCGTCTCGTTCTTACCTTTCTTAAACTTTTTCCAAGTTTCAGCATTTTTACACATATATCATTCTTTAAAACAATCCTTTTTAACTCTAACTTTACTCTGAACACTTTCATTCCACCACCACGATTTTCTAACCCTAGGTCTAAAACATCTTGATTCTCCAAACTTTTCTTTAGTTAATTTTTTGATCTCTTGGGTCATCTTATTCCATATATCATTTGCATTTTTTTGTGGTTGTTCAAACTCTCCCTCTAAGACCTTATGTTGGAAATTTCCTTATTTTTCATCTTACAAATGCCACCACTTGATATGTGGTGCTCCCATGTGACTTATTCACTTAACGATCCTCTTGATTCTTACATACATAACCATTACTCTATGTTGGGTAGCCAAGCTCTCTCTCGGAATAACTTTGCAGTCCAAGAAAATCTTCCTATCAGACTTCCAAATGAGAAAGAAATTTATCTGAGAACATGTCATTTCACTCTTATATGTGATAAGATATTAATCTTTTTTTCTAAACCAAGTATTTCCTATAATAAGATAAAATGTCGATGAAAACTCCAAGATGGATTTACCCTTTGCATTTACCTCTCCGATGTTATATCCCTCATGCACACCCTCAAAACTTCTTGATACGCTCCCTACATGTCCATTTAGATCTCCTCATAGAAAGAGCTTTTTCTCCTTGGGGTATATCCTAAAACAATCCTTCTAAATCCTCCTAAAAATTTACCTTAAAATGTTCTCCCAATCCAACATGAGGTGTGTAAGTACTAATAATATTAAA